CTAAGATCGTAAAGGACTCTTGCAACTAAGATCAGTAAAGGACTCTTGCAACTAAGATCAGTAAAGGACTCTTGCAACTAAGATCAGTAAAGGACTCTTGCAACTAAGATCAGTAAAGGACTCTTGCAACTAAGATCAGTAAAGGACTCTTACAACTAAGATCAGTAAAAGACTCTTGCAACTAAGATCAGTAAAGGACTCGTGCAACTAAGATCAGTAATAAAATAAGTAATCAAACTTTTCGTCCTTTTTAGGACGAAAATTTTCATTTTCTTTTGAAGCCCTACTCTGACTTTTGCCAGGGGCCGCAATATAGTCTGGCCATAAATATGGCCTAAAGGCTAAACGCGGTCTCTGGGACCTCTCCACAGTGATCCTCACCCACATGGTGGCACAGTGTCATCGGGTGTTTATCGCTTGTGTGATGTCCTGGTGGGGTAGAAAGTCAGTCAGTCAGTCAACTAAAATATGTAAAGGACTCTTTTGCACGCCTTCGGGGATACTGGGCACACAGGACTAGACCTATGTTTGATAGAATAATGGGCATTTGGGGGGTGGGGGTGGGTGGGTGGGTGATGTGGTCAGCATCCCTCCTGGAATCAAGACACCTAACGTGCAAATTACTATAATCCCTTTCCTTAGGGATGTGTGATAGATAGAGGTTGTTAAAATACGAAATTTTTCTAATTAGTTCTTGTTCGTCTTATATACCTTCCCTTCAACTTACGACCTGTGCTGTTTACGAGCATCTTAACACGCGACCACATTACATATGTAGAAATGTAAAGAAAGACAGATAACTACACTGGGTTAACAAGTTCTTGGAAGTGGTCCGAAAGCGCAGGAGGGTCTAATTCTTCATACAATGCTTGAATTGATATTTTGTATGTACAATATTTATAGGGAAATTTAGTGGGAGACACTGGAAGAGAGGTTTATAGACTTATGACTGGCCCTGATGCTAATGACAGCATTAACAATTTAACAAGAAATGATCAGGCCACCGTCTTCAGACTCAGAACACAACATACTCCACTCAATGGACATCTAAATAGAATACAGCCACAACACTCCCCAGAGTGCCAGCTATGTAACTACCCATAGGAAACTGTTTAACACCATCTCTTTGAGTGCCAAAAACTCAGCGAGACTAGAAGAATGCTACTCTCTCAGAGACCGGACAAGTTGAACACCTTGTACAGAGGAAAAGAACAGCTTATGAAAACATGCAAATTCCACTACATGGCATTGGGCCAAAGGGCAAAAGCTCAAGATGTGCTTGATCGATAACAACACTAACAACATAAGGAAATTTAAGTATCTAGGCACATAGATAACATCAGACGTAAGATATATCACAGAGACAAAGAATAAACAAGGACAGACCAGAACTGTATCTTACAAAATGAACATTTAATGCATTGAATCCATGTCATTGGATGTTAGAAAGAAAAGAATTCTCGCGTGCCATAGAGAGCCAGTTTTAACATACGGATGTGAAGCCTGGGCAATTAATAAACAAGTCGAACAATATCTTGAGGCCTCAGAGATGTGGCTTTACAGAAGAATCTTCAGAACTCATTGGACAGCTAAGAGCAGCCTAGACGTTTTGAAAGAGGCGAGTGCTCCAAGACAACTTATCACAAACAGCAGAGTGATGTTATGAGAAGATGAAAACTGGAACATGCTGTGATCACAGGAAAGATCTATGGAAAGAGAGACAACGGAAGACAGCGTGAGAAGATTCTTCACAGTCGTGTGTCATGACATGAAAGGGCGCTGTCACGCGCAGTTGCCGATCAAAAATATCGGATAGGCATGATCGCCTACGCCAGTCAGCAAGGCACTTGATGATTATGATGTGCAAGGTAACACTTGCATGAAGATAGTGATGACACTCAATTTACGACCAGTTCAACCTACGACTTATTAGTCAGAAGGAAACGCTGTCGTATGTCAGTTTCCATTTCTGTGTTGGTTTCGGGTGAGCATAAATGGACTGGATGCTTTCTTAATATCCAACCCCAAACAGGGGAAATCTACAGGTCACGGAACAATCTCATATTTCAGGGGTGGTAGATAGGCTGCATGCAGTCGTGGGACCTAGGCTGCATGCAGTCGTGGGACCTCTCTCGTGGGACTAGATGAGATAGGGTTAGGAGCAGTCCTAGAATTTTTAGGGTCGTAAAATGCATCAGAAAGCCGGGAAACCCAGTCGTATTCACCCTCTAAAATGTTGGACTGTCCTGTGACATTATCTGGGATTGGATATTACGAAAGAACCCTGGATTGAGACTTTTTATAGCATTGCTGAGATATTATAAATTCATGTTCGATACAAGTTACTTTTTTGGACATGTGTTGGCGGGTTAGACTTCTAATTTTACAGAACAAAATATTTATCACCGTATCGGTGACCTTTCTTCGAACGAGGTCATCTCCTAATAGAGCCCTCCATGACACCCGTGTATGTTGGTTGATCCCCAAACGATAGCGGGATGGGTCACCATTCTCACTGCTCATAATGGCATGATTCTTCAAACAATGATAAGAAGGGAGTAAGCATTCGTGGCGTAGCCTACTCGGAATCGAAGGTCGTGGGTTCAAATCTGCATCCAGCGTGATTTGTGTTCATAATCTGTAAGAATGCCATAAAAGTATACGGGACAGAAAGTTGCAGATAAACATGACTACTAACGTAAAAAAAACATGACGTACTGAAAATGATAAATGTCCGAAAGCGATTTAGTTAAACTAAACAGAAGTTTACAAATAGATATGATTACTAGCATCACACGACAGGGATTATGAAATGTCACCTATATCAAAAAGCTTTCAAAGTACACATGGCAGAAGGCTGTGGATACACATGACTACAAATGTCATTCAACATAAACTATGGAGGAACAACTATGTCAGAAAACGATTAAATCTAACTAGACAGAAGGCTGCAGATTGACATGACTAACGGAAAATCATACATGTTCGAAAGCGATTAAAATATTTACAACAAAAGTCTGTAGATGCAGGATGTCAGAAAGTGATAGAACTAAATGAGATAGAAAGGCTGTCGATAGACATGACAACACACGCCACAAAACATAGACTCTGAGACTAAGAGGGACTGTGAACGTCTCCTACCCGCAAACAGGTAGGCGGCTGGAGCTCCACTGTCACCCCTACAGATGTCTGTAGGTCCGTTTTTATATCCGGCGCAGAACTGACGTAGAGTAATTTGACCCTTGAAAAGTTGACTACATTCTTTCTGATCTATGAGAGGTAGCATGGTCATCTTCAGTATCGGCTGGGATGATGCTCCGGCTGTGTGATTACGTATTAGTGAACACAATGTATAGTTATGTGCAAAACGTTCAAGTACAAATAGCAACGTGAACAATGATAATACGTCCCACTCCTAGGATTTAGTCAATGCCAAAGGTTGCACCCAAGCATCCTGAAATTGAAATGCCAAACCTTCATGTTATCAAGGCTTCAACGTGCTCAAAGTTCAAGGGTTTGGTGCGTGGACAGTTTGCATGGAGGCACTACTACTGGTATTTGACCAATGAGGGCATTCAGTACTTGCGAGAATTCCTTCATCTGCCTGCTGAGATTGTTCCTGCCACGTTTAAATTCTGTTCGTCCTTCTTATGATGAATTTTTCGTTCTTTAAAGCCCAACTCTGGCTCTTGCCAGGGACGGCAATATAGCCTGGCCAAAAATATGGCCTAAAGGCTGAACGCGGTTTCTGGGACCTCTCTACGGTGACCCTCACCCGCATGGTGGCATATTGTGTCATCGGGTGTTTATCGCCTGTGTGATGTCCTGGTGGGATGGAAAGTCATTCAGCCAGTCAGTTCCTGCCACACTCAAGAGACAGACACGCCCAGAGGCACCCAGGCCAACCAGACCTAAGACTGCAGAAGGTCCCCGCTCTGGAGGTACTGATGGCCAGGAGTACAGAAAAGCTGCAGGACCTGGCACAGACACAAATCTAAGGTTGGGGCTGGATCACAGCAGTTTGAATGTAGATGTGGATATGGACGTGGCAGAGGTGGATTCGGTGGTAGTGCTCCTAGGGATCAGTAAATTTAAGTATCTGGCAAACTATGTGAATAAAATATATTGACATTTAGCATGACTGATGTCGAAAGCAGCAGAAGAAGAAGAAGACCGTTTTGAAACTTCGTTTCTACACCCTGAAGTAACAGGTGGACGCTCTGAACTTCATTAGGGAGTCACTACAGAAATAAAAAATTTTTTTTTACGTACAATGTTAGACAAATCATTTGTAGGCATGTATGTTGATACATTTGTAGACTTCAAGTTTGAAAAACATGGTTGCAATGGCAACAGCCGCCATCTTGATGAAAAAAACAACATGTACTTAGCCAGCTAAAATCTTAAAAGCAAACAGAGATAGTGAGAAACAGCAGATGGATTCATGAACTTTAAACTTATGTTTAGGGTCAGGTCTAGTTTATGTTCTTCAAAGATGTTTTTAAATATTTTTTTTAGAATATTAAAATATTGGTATGTTGAAAAAATACAAAAATGTAGCTTTTTCATTTAATAATCAAATTTAAAAAAAAATGACCTAATAAACTGTAATTTTAATTAGACCTGACCCTATAATATTGTATTAGGAGTATCCACAACAAATTGCACGTCTCTAATCTTTATATTAGCTGAGATTTTAGGAGATCCCACAAACAACAAACAGAAAAATAGAATTGTTAGAAAAGTGACTTTTAAACTTTTTTTTTAATCTAAAAAATGTGCATGTTTTGGTGTCTTTAGTATTGACTTTTCAATGCTAAACTGTTTACCAATGACACACATGTTGTGTGTAATCTATTCTACGAATGCCGAAGATTACAAAAATAAACAATTGAAAAAGTGATTTTTTTTTTGGGTCATAAATTGGAAAAAAATGGCGTGAAGTGACCCCTTAAGAACAGGATTGACAGGTAACAAAAAACACTGGCAAGTTTTTTATAATTTCTGTCAGTGTAAAAGATTGTTTTTTGTACACGCTTTGTATACGGAAAGAAACCATTAACTCGGGAACATTAAATGGTGTCCGGGTATGTAGGTGTGCGAAGTAATAAATAACTGGATGTTTTGTCTACAGAAGCGATGTCTACGAGAGAACTAGTACTGTTTATAGGAGACATATTGAAGACCATTTTTGAACGTATTCTGATAGAAGACACGAGGTTATAGGAAGTAATACATGAACGAGTGAACATTTAATCAGGAGTAGATATGAAAAGGTGCAGTCGCCGTGGCGTAGCGGCTGGACGCTCGCGTGAGGAAGGTCGGGTGTTCGCTCAATGGCGGAGCTTGAATTTTTTCAAAAATCACCTTGACTAACAATCAGGTCGACCCAGCCTTGAGTAGGTACCGAGTGCAGTCCCAGGATGTGAAGGCGGCCGGCGTTATGCTGACCACATCACCCGTCTTGTACTGATTGGTCTATACATTATAGGTCTACCCCTATATGCCCTATACGCCTAAAGGTGTGGAAAAGGGCTCTTTGCTTTTTTTTTTTTTTTTTTTTTGACTTTTCTTAGATCTGGCGAGAGGAGTGGAAGACAACAACTTGTGTACAATAAATGTGATACGGGAACAGTCAGTTTCTTTCCACAAGACATTTGCTGCGGGCAAAGGAGCATCTGTGGGTGTGCCCAGTTTTCTGTGATGTCAGCTCAGAAATCAGTAACCATAATATTTAAAAAACCATTGACTCTGATCATTTGAGCTCAATTTCCTGTGTGCGTTCCAGTGTGACATTGTGGAGGTGGTGGCAGGACGGAGAATAGACCTATAGCTCTCTAAGAAGCTGCTTGTAAGAATCCATTAATGACGGTGGTTTTCATTGGAGTAGAGCGGGAAACAAACGGTCTTTATTTTTAAAAAAGTTAGATCTAGAAAACGGATGTGCACACACAAAATCAGTTTTTAGAAAAAGATAAAATCCAGAAATGGATGGACAATCAGAAATTGCTGTCGCAGTTTAAATTCGGAGAACCGATAGAGGAAGAAGAAAATTCGAGCTGCGTAAAGCATGTTCTTAAAGGCTGTACAGTCAGTACTGTTGAAGGCAAGTTAATTATGGTCATTCGGCAGAACACATGGCAGATTTATAATAATCATTTAGCAGGTCCTTTGCAGAACGTCGCTCTCATCACGGTCTGCCTGAAAAGTACTCGGTCTCTCGCCAGCTCTCCCGCCTCATGCATATTCATACTCAAGGAGTCAATTATATCCTCTGTCCATCTTCGTGTTGGTCGGACCCTGCCCCTTCTTCCTGGTACCATGCCTTCTGATATAATTGTTTTCCAATCCGTCGTGGCGCTTGATATGATGAAAATATTTCATCTTCCGCATAGCAGACTACCTGGAATTTAATGTAATTTTCATTTTCATTTTTGTTTACAAACACATACTTTTAAAGAAGATATTTTTTTTTTAAATGTGGTTTAGATGCATGGTTAAGACTCTTAACAAACTGTTTGTGACATTTAGACCCCGACTCCACTCCTCCCCCTCCCCCAGCCCACCATCTTTTGATTTTTGGTTGGGTGGAGGGGTCTGTGAGGGAAGAGGGAGAGGGGGGGAGGAGGGTTCATGATACCTGTCGGAAATTATAACCCCCTATGCAGATATTTATTCTTATGACAAAATTCTACCAACTTCCAATGTAACTCCGGTGAGCGAGCATCTCAACTGACCGGTTTTCTGAAGCCTAGTTTTAACTGAAGTATTCTAACACGGCCTCTCTGATACCGCAGCACAAGGATGCTGAAACCTAGCCGACCAGACAGTATTTGGGTCTGTCTCCTTTGATGACATCAACATTGCAAGAGTTCTTTTCAGAGCAACCTGGCGGTTAACAATGGTAAGCCATTTTATTTGGCGCACATAACCTAGCCACAATGACAGCTAAAAGCTCCCCCTTCTGGGATGATGTTTGAATGTGACGATTTCCCCCCTCCCCCGCCCCTCCCCCCCCCCCCAGGCAGCAAAGCAAGCCAAGTGGGGCCTCATCCTTCCAACCAAATTTATGAGGGGACAAATCTCTTTCCACGCCCCCCCCCCTCCCTCCTATTCCATCTTTACATCGTTCGTCCCCATGTTGTTTTTGAGTGCCCCGTCTTCTCATTCCTCTCTTGTGCAAGTAAGAGCTGTTTTGGTAGGCATATCAGGATTCATTCTCATAATGTGGCCACTCCATTTCCATCTTTTCTTTGTTTTCATACTGGCTAGAGTATTTTAGTTTGTGACCTGAAGTACTTTAGTGTTTGAGATTATATCCAGAAAATTTTGATAATTCTACTTATACATGTATGGTGGAAAGTGGATAGCTTGTGTAACCCTTTCTGGTCATTCTCCATCATTCTGCTCCATAAGAAAGAACTGGTAAAAAGATGCTCGTGCAGAGTCAGAGTTTTATTCATCTGTAGTATTTATTAGATTTCCAGACTTGCCTCATTCTTCCAAAAGCGGCTCTAGCTTTCTTCATGCATGACTGTATGTCATTCTTTGTCCCTCCCAGTAGGGGCGCAACACTGCCAAGATATGTAAACTGTTCTACATGCAAATTCCTTTTGATAAGTTTATATCTAAAGTGAAATGTATGCCAAATCTTACAGAGCTTGTCCCGCCCCCAGCCAGACACTATCATATGTGTACCAAGTCCCGGGTAATCGGTCTCTTTCGGTAAACAGATGGGCTGAACAAAACTGTTGAACCTAATGCCGGCGCCAGATTTTGTTGGCTGGATCTTCAGTAGGGCAATATCGTAATCAAAGATCCCCACTATCCTCGGAGAGACAGAGTTACAAAATAAACATTGTGATATTAAAGCAGGTTTGATGCAAAACATTTTCTAAAAGCGAGACACATTTATAAAGAACACTTTCACATGCCTTCAGGAGTATTGGATATATATGATACGATCCGACTTGCCCGTTGTGTAAATCGAAGCAAACTCTTGAGCACGTCCTGTCCGCGTGCAGGAAAGCCCTAGGTCAAGGCCGATATACCTGGCGCCACAACAAGGTGCTAAAGGAGTTAGCAGCCGTTGTCGACCAGGCTAGAATGAGGGCTAACGCCAGAGCCAGTTCTAGTATCGTCCCCATTCGTTTCCTCAAGGCTGGGCAGGTTCCAAAAGGTAAGGTCAACCAAAACGCATTCGCTCCATCTGTGCTAGACTCTGCGAGGGACTGGTTACTGGCGGTTGATCTGCCAGGCCATGAACGGTACCCCGAGTTGATCCGTAAAACCGGCCTGCGACCGGACATCGTTCTCCATTCTGCGCAAAAACGGCAACTCATCCTGATTGAGTTGACTGTCCCGTTTGAGTCGCGTATGGAGGAGAATCATTTGTACAAGCTCGAGAAGTACAGTGATTTAGCAGCCGGTTTGAGGAGAAACGAGGCTTACACAGTACGGGTATTTGCCGTCGAAGTGGGAGCGAGAGGCCTCGTTTCCACTTCGCTCTACAATGTGGTGAAAGAATAGGATTACGCGGTAATGAACGGAAACGAACACTCAAAAAACTGGGAGAGGTGGCCGAAAGGGCCTCTAGCTGGCTTTGGACGCAGCGCAACAACGTAGGGGACGGGCCTCTGTGAGCTGGTCCGGGTATCTAGTGGAAAAGAGTTTCTCATCCCTTTGAAAGTCCATCGTGTCCGAATTGTCTGCCAGTGTTCTTCTGCCAACTGCTAATAAAAGTCCAACATGTGTTCGGTAAACCAAAGTAAGCTTGTCGCTCGGTCGTCCAGGCACGCTGACTGCTTTAATTAAGCTGCCGCGGCGGCTTCTTATCTCACAGTACCTCCTTCGAAACTACCAAGTCGTCTTGTCTCTGGCCGAAAGTAAAACACCATCCGGTAATTCCGTGCAGCGGGGAACCAGCCTTGAGCGTCATGAACTCAGGAGGGCCCACCTCCGAATACGTCTAGGAATCGTGGGCCGAAACGTGTGTCGACGAGGATAATTTCTACTGACGACTGGTAGATCCCCGCTGTACTTGCTCCCTGTGAGTTTATTCCTATTGGCTAGTCATATATTTTATAGAC